AAAAAAACACGAAACATAACATGAGCAATGTGCCTCATTCGTGGGATACCTGTGACTGGAAAGGTAGTTAACCTTGTGTCAATGTGTCTTAATTGTCTTTATGTCATATATTATGACAATTAAGCGTAATAAAAAAAAGAATTATATTAATCCCGATATTACTGGAGTATGTGATATAAAGTCACATATATTTGAGACGTCATTTCAAATACTCTTAAACTAAACTACTCCGTGATCAGAAATGTGCTTCACCAATGTCTTGTGGCAATTTATTTATTGCCATTCCTCGAAAGAAATACAGCCCCATATTTGTGCCAAACAGGATATCAAATTTGCGACACGATCGCGAGTGCAGAAAATTTCATTATTCAAATTTCCTCCATTGTGCTCATGCTATTTTTGCCATACAAATAGTACCTTAGGTGTCAAACTGGTCGTGGCTTAGTAGTTGGCAATTCGCTTGAATGTATTCCTTCGGTTCTTTGTCCGAAAGACAGTTTGACAGTTTACTGTCGGATGTAATTTCGATCTTTCTAATTAAACGCTATTTATCAATATTTCCATTTTCATTTTAAACGGAAGTTATAAATGTACTACACACAAAACTGAGCTTTGATTAAACAAATAAAGGCGGCGTGCTAGATGTATTCTGATCATTGTATACTATCAATATGTATTGTAAAACAATCATATGTGACACATTTCATTCATTACGCACACTTTCATTTTCACTTTTGTCACCGGTGACTTCTATTCCAGCATTCAGTGTTTTTATTTACAAATGCAACTTTTTTGTGTCACTGATACTGTCACTTCGTGTGCTTTTTGACAAGTACGCACCTTGTTTTGACCAATGACAGCTACAGGTGATACAGAATAAAACTGGGTGCGTTATATTCTATTTTGTTGTTTTGAATCTCTGTGTACCGTTTTCCAGTAAATGAGATTATAACGCACAATTTGTAATGTGTGGCTTTTAACCATAATTGTCCAGTCGTTTTTGCCCTTTATGAAATACTAGTAACACGGTGATTCTAATTTAATGAATACTAATAGTATATATACTGTAACTATACTGATATCATTATCCACGAATTACTGAAATCGCATTCACATAGTAACTGACAATGCGGAGTAATGTATTTCAATTGTAATGCAACGAATTGCCGAAATAATGAAATATTGGTACACTAAAAGGAAATACATCGATTGTGTAGTATATCTGTTACGCTTAGAATATTCACAAGACAGGATTTCCTACTTGAAAGAATATTGTTGAATCACATACAAGGTAGTTCGTCTGTTTGTGCATTGACCTCAAACACTGCCCGGATTTGCTTGATAACTGGACCGCACGTAGCACCGGTCTATCATTTAGAACGCGTCGTTTTAATAATATGCCGGTAACTGGGCAACACGTGACACCGATCTACCAATAAGAACACTTAATTTCAATAATTGACAGTGCAATATTATTTATCCCTAGCCATATAATTTCAATGTAACTATGTAATTCCCACCTCACTTGGTGTGTACCATGCAAAGCTCTGTATTGGAAGGAGTTTGTGAATTTTCAATATTTCGTTAAACATTGAATGTTTTTTCAGAAAAGTATTTAATCGCAAATAAACCATACATGTACACTTAGGTATCATGATTAACTATATTCGTTGGTCTTAAAATGAGTATAAAATTTAATTACCGCGTTAAGTGGCAGGTAAATTTTGTTATTAAAATATGTCTGTCAAAATCACAATGATCGATTTCATAATTTCAATGTCTTAAATCAAAATTATTTTTAGATTCCAGTTAATGAATCGTTCAATAACGGCGTTCTAAGAGGCCAGATTTGGTCGCTTTCACGGTCACGGTTATACTATTCGCCTTTTATCACAGATGCAGGGTTAGTCAGCCTTGTTATGCTTACATTATGTTGTCTCTACAACGAAAGCCAACACAGCACACACTGGGTAACATAGTATTATATGCAAGTACCTGCTGGCAATGACATTGATTAAACATGGTAGAATAATAAGTCGGTCCACAAACAAAGGTTTGATTTTAGTAACGAATACTGGTACATTACTAAAATTCTAAATATTTTATGGCAAGTCAAACATTTGATAAAGATAACTAACACTCGTCTTCGACATGCTCTGTAATCCGCTCAATGTCTAACGTACTTAATATAAGACCAAACACAACACAAATATCGAGATGTACCAACGGACCATTTACACGTCTTTCATTCTTCGTATATGCTGGTATGAAAAACAACAAACGTTTTCAAATAATATGAACCAACGAAAAGCTACTCACATATTGGCCTGTGTGTGTGCGCTCCATCGTTGACAATGTCGATTAAAGCAAAACGCACTTATTTATCAAAAATGTATCCTTGCTTGAGGATATTTAAAAAAAAACATGTCCCGCCTTGCACTGTGTGACAAAAGAAAATCAGCTTTTGTGCCTAGTGACGTCACCGGATTTGGTGACTTACAAAACGTTTTGACTTGTGAATCAACTCAGTGGCAATTCCACTACACCAACCTACAGCGATAGAGATCGTCTCGGGTAAACTTATAATGCCCAATTCAAAGCAGTGCATAGAGCCAGAACGTATGTATTTTTTCGGATGTACATTTTTGCTTCATATAAAGAATACTCTATACACCAACACGGAATATCTTACTTAATATCCATTCTGACACGTTCGCTGCATATTTTGTATGGCTAAAGTTCCATAAAAATCCTGAAAGCAATATCGGCCGGGTCAGCACCAGTGTAACGAACCACAATTTGTTATGCGATGATATGTTATGTTATGTGATAGAACGCATTATTTTACTCATTTAACCGTAACGCCATAAGTTACAGCGTGTCGTAATTTTGCGGTATTTTACAGGGTATTTTCATCCTACCAAATTAGGAAATGCGAATTCCAAATATGGAACGATTACGCGCGTTAGCGTCCTCTAATAATAAAAACAAATATGGCTGCCATCAGGGTATGACCGGACTCCACACGAAGAAGTTCGCTGATTCTGTTCTAAAGATTTTGGATTTCGGCATTCCCATGATGTATCCTTGGAAGGAAAAGATGTATAATAACACGGTTATTACGGGGATACCTCCAAGTATGCACTCCAAGTATGTCACATCGACCTCCGCTGCGCGTCGGTCGATACTTCCGCTGTACTGTCTATTGAGGTATCCTCGTAATAACCTCATATTATCACATCTTACTGTTGTTACACACGCTGTGATTGGTTGAGACCCAGTCTCACAAACACGTGTTATTATTATATAAATGTACGACGCATGATGTGATATCAATTTTGATGTAGAATACGTGCTAAGCAACGACCTATCTTTCAATAACTTGAGAATAGTCAATTTGATAAAAATAGAGACGTTATCAATAATAGGTATTGAATTAAACCTGTCAAATAAATCATTTTGGTCGGTTATTATAAAATCGATAAACAATTATCCTTTTTATTAAAATAAGTACATCAAAACCTTATAAAAATGCGTTTATTGGATATTGACAGTATTATTGTTAACAGGAATAGACGACGATTCAATGAACACATTTTATACTGAACATAAACGTGTCTAATTCTAGCGTTTAGATCCACTGCCTAACGCCCGTTGCCAAATTTTCTTTTGAAACAGCTTTTATGTTTTTAGATGTTTTTTTTTTCGTAACGATAGTTTCTAGCTATTGAAATAGCTTTCTATTTTTTGTGAAAACTGGATATTAAATCGTACTATTTGTTTCAAAATATTATATATTCACACGAAGTTGGTACATAACGTTTGAGCGTCCCGTTCCATTGTGGGCTTCAACGTAATTTCCTTTTCTTATCAAATAAATGATCCAACAAAGCTAAACTAATATCTACATTGTGGTGTACAGAGGTAACTGCACGCTTAGGGGTTGGTTTTCTGATAGTAAACGTAAGACTATAAAGAAATTTTAAATGAGTCGCGCCTTGGAAATTTACTTAAAACGAAGTGAGTTATCCCGTAAAGCTCTGAATACGATCCTTACTAGTTGTTATCTTCGATTTTACCAGTTTTTCCACAAATAGCGCAGCAGGTTAAGCCAAAATATCACTAGAATCTTTCACTTTGTGATACAAGCACCGAGATTACTAAAATTCCTAAGAAATTAAAGCATTATATATATACTTGAAGCACACCAGTGGCAAAAACCCATAACTCGACACATATTTGCTGGGTATAATTTTGTTCATATAAACATACATAAAGAATCAAAATTACACCTTTGAAGCCATTTTTGGATTGAAAATGGCGGGAAAATGTTAAATTCTAAGATTATCGACATTTTGTCTTTCTAGCAAATTATGGATTAGACTTTCCGTTATATTAAGTATCAAACCATTCCTATTTTTTCCCAAGAATTTCGTTTCATGTACTGAAAGCCACGGAATCTTTTAAACCCGAACTGAAGATTGTCATTACGTATTATTTTGCGTATGTTATGTCAGTCTTTTTATGCATATGAACCGATGATCGAAAACATAAGAAAAAAAATACCCGAATCTTCACAGCGCACCTGATATATACATGTGTAATCAAGGGCCACTCGTTGATTCCTTCATGATCAATCACCTTCTTATCTCAGTCATTAGAGCTACTGTTCGTGTTTGGTTCGAATCTCGGGTAGACTCACAAGAAAAAAATGCAACATGCGCGCCCAGTTTCTTTCCAGACCTCGGCTTTACAACAATCTTAGTCGTACTCTAACTACCAGGTAATCGTTCGCTTTAGAGTGGGTTTTCAATTTATAAACCAAACTGTTAGTAGAATAGATCTATTTTACGGTGATTTTTAATTATAAAGCTCACTGTTGTGGATATATTCTTGTAAACAGTGAAGCTTAGCGTCGGTAATTGCATGTCGGTTTTCTGGTAGAAAACGAACGAGTATGAGGAGATTTACAGAAATAATTCGTAATGTTTTTGAAAAATATTTCACTCAGAACAATATGATTTATTGACGTTAATCTCAGAATACAAATATGTTACTATGCTACACTTCGAGTTTTATAGTTTGTACTGTCTTTTTCAACAATTTTGGGTGAATTTCCCATAAACCCCACCGCAGCTGCTGTGTGCGTAAGTTATGTACCTGTGTATGTGTTTGTATAGAAGGACAATGAGCCAACGATCCGTATAAACCGCACCTGATTCATGTAAATAAACACCTCAAACCACTTTCTCAGGTCCTCTAACAGAGTGATCGTACATTCACATAGCTCGTCGATCTGAAAGTCTTTGGTTCACATCCAAAGTGTTGCTGCTGAAAACAGTTTTTAAAATAGTGAGGGAACTTTGTTGCCCTCCACTTACGTAATTTGTGAGCAACATAGTTGTGAAAAACTGTCATCTCCTTCTAAATGGATATTGTTGAAAACAAAAACTAGTAAACGGGTACTGTTTGTAACTAAATGAGAGTACTTTCCTAGTGAATGATCAAAAAAAAGTTCCGGTACTGGAACAATAGCAACAAGCTAAAAAGTAGTAAACCACTGAAACATTGTCGATATATAAATTGTATCACTGTGCCAATCATCGTGTGGCAGTATAATCATAATCTTGACAAAACCTTCATTTTGCAAATTATTTTCAATTAAGGAGTTACTAACGTCCAGAGGATTTATTAATAATGAACTATTTGAAGTGGCATGATATGTTGATAGAATTGAGCTAGTCATAGAAAATGCATACTCACATTGTTAAGCTTGTGTGATCATTTAACATGGTTTGATAACTTTGTGTATGTTATTTCACTTTTCGTGTGTTTTATCAGTTTAACAGTTGTACAAACATTAGTACACTGTCATTTGATACGTATTTGTGACAAATAAGCAGTATAGGGTCGAAATTCGTAATTAGAAAGAAAACATGCCTCTATTTTCAAAAGGAATATGGTATACTAGTATATCCTGTAACATTGGTTACGCAATACTTTAATACAGTTCTGGTGTTCGTGAGCGTTGACCTGCCGGAATATGCGGTCATTAACACAAGGTCTCAGTATAATAATAAACCTATAATGACCAGCACGAAAAATAGCTCAAAAAGCAATGACTGACGTTGAGTTCTGTATAGCTCGATGAATAGGGTGTTTGAGAGAATGACTGATGTGTGAACCCCAAGTTTTTATTTTTTTTCTTAACACAGTAAAACTTTTAAAGTGATACAA